CAAGCACCTACCTACATAGATTCCTGGGCGCGCCCATGTCGACAGGAAGGGTACGAGACTAGGGGGTGAGTGGTGGCGACGGCGAGCTCGCGACAGGCCGAGCGCATACCGTGAACGAGCCGCGCTCAGCCGTGACGTCACTGGATAGCCCGCTGGCGCGCGGCGACCGTTTTTGGTGTGGCCCGCCACCTAATTGACGGGGGTCCTCGCGAGTTGGAGAGGCGGTCGGACAGGGGATAAAGAGAGGAGGTAGCCGATTGAGTAAGAGGGAGAGAAAGAGGAGAGAGAGAGAGAGGGAGAGAGAGAGAGAGAGAGAGAGAGGGGGGGGGGAGAAGGAGACCCGAAGACTGATCGAGAAGAACGTAGAAGTGGTTAATGAATTGGATTTGGGATGGTGGTTGAGGGAGGCCTTTCACCGTGTCAACTGTCTATGGGGTAAACACAGGAATAATCTCTTTTGTTGCGTTATATTTGCATCTCACGCGTGCTGTTTGTGGTTAAGTATAGTAACTTTATTTTTTAGTGTTTGCTATAGCTAGTTTGCGAGAAGATATGCTCAACAACACATGGAATTATTTCATAACAAGTAAAACAAAACGATGATACAATGAAGTTGTATATTTTTGATAGCCATGCAATTAAGACAAATAAATTCATTAAAAGTAAATTTTTTGTTAGGCTACACGTTAAATCACCGGTCTCGAAACGGAAAGTTGTTGACTTGAAAATAATCTTTCTGAAACATTTAGATGATTATCGCAATACCAATCACTGATCTTAAATGTCAGATACTTTAATCATGACTTTTCTAGTGTTCTGCATCATCGAATAAAAGTTCACTTTAATTTGACTCGTTCAGATCGATCGTCATAACTGTGTTCCATGGCCTAAACTTGCATTCGAAGGGAGCAGTAATCGCCACGAAGTGTGCATTCGGAGTGAGCAGTAATCTCCACGCACTTTGAGAATGTGGATCGCTCATGATTGTTCAATATAGTACAATACAATACATTCGAAGACATTCTTTCTACCCTCTCTGTTATTTTCCTCTTTTTCCTCTCTTTCTCCTCTGTTATCTGCTTCCCTCACATTCTCCCCTCCTTATTATCTCCGTACCTTCCCATTCTTTACCCACGATAGCGTTATCGGTAAGTGCAAAGTACAACGTGCACTTGTGCAAGGACAGGCGTGATACCGAGACAGAAATAAATGTTCGCGACAGGTGTTCGGAGTGTATTCGCAATAAAGTCCTTGTTGACAATGACATCAAAACGCCAAATCATTTAGCTATCTTTATTTTTTGTCAGCTTGAAGTCAAGACTGAGCCAGCCTCCATCAGTCCATCTATTTATATTAAATTCAGCATTTCTGAAATACTAGTACTTCACATCTGTTACGATTTATTACGTACAGAAATCCCTAGCACCACTCAACTACTCTTTTTTAAAGGTAGTGTGCCAGCTTTCCTGGACCGTATGGAGTTAATGGCCCAGATAAGGAGAACCGGATTTTTAGAACTTATCCATACCTTCAAAACTCATGGAAACGTCTTAAATTCTTCAAATTTTGAGTACCCCAGTGCGAAATTCGCCCCGACGGGTTGTCGGTCGTACCCCAACCGCATTTCACACCACTATGAACAATAAATGCACACACTGAAATCGCTATTACCGATATGCTCATCCAATCAAGTTTCGATAAACCCGTTCATCATCAGCTCCTGCGGTTTCGAACACGCCTGTTAGGTGGTGCGGTAGACCGCGCCCAAAGCCAGGGCCCCGGTAACGTGAGGTAGCCGAGTCAGGGCAGCGTGCGCTGACCCAAGCCGGAGCCGCGCGTCCTCCCGGTGTCATGTGATAGCCCGGGGCTGCCCGCGGGGATGCGGTAGACCGCGCCCAAAGCTGCGGCCCCGGCTTGGGTCAGCGCACGCTGCCCCGACTCGGCTACCTCACGTTACCGGGGCCCTGGCTTTGGGCGCGGCTTCTGCTCATACTTTGTGGTGCGGTGGTGGTGCGTCGGGCCGCGCGCTCTGACTTCGGCCAAGAAAAATGCGTCAGCTGATCATTGTCATTTCTGCCACTTGCGTGTGGTGAAATGGGGTCATAACTTATGAGACGGCTTTTTCATATCAATTATTTTACATAAAATCATATTTCAAACCATAAATAATGTTCGACAGCCAAATAAAAGAAACAATACCAATACAGGCTTACAGTTTAAGGCTCGACATTGTGTTGTCTACGATTAGACAGCTGATAACTCATTCCCGTACGTCGTATGGTCGTAACACTATAATGACCTTTGCTTATTGTCACATGTGCGCCGCATTCGCGATTGTTGCCGACGCCTGTTTACAGGTGAGCCCACTACAGTTGTTATACATATCTAAAAACCGATAAACTTTTAGGCGAAAAAGGCACTATTCCAGGCCCATTTTTGATTTTTTTGCGATATTAGGTAAAAACAGAAGCTTCTTATCCTAGGAAAAATAAAATGGGAAATCTTTCAAAGGTGGCACACTACCTTTAAATCATAAATAGGTTTCTCCGTTGTACAGACGCTTGTCGAGTCTCCCCATAAGGCATGACTCGCTGATAGAACTAGAAGGAAGTGGTTCCCTTTGCGTTCACTGGAGATGGTCTCCCTGCAATACATGGGGCTGGTGCCGAGAACGTCAGTCTCGAGAAAAAAAACTTCTGCATTGATAGCATGCGCGTGCAAACCCCTTAACACGTAGGTAATCGTATTAATCTAATCCTGGATGAAATTCACTTGCTTGCATATCTTTATTTCTATTGGTACCTTTGTGAAACCAGCTGAGACGTTTTAGGAATTCAAAACGGTTAGCTTCCAAGCAAAGAAAGCCTTTCAAATGTTTACGTACCGATATGCGTATGCTTTATTTGGTTTCGTTGGAAGAAAAATGCTAATTTTTGGTCATTTACAGGTAATCAACTTCAATCTAAGTTGAATATTGTGTATTATTTTCTTTTATTTAATCTAATAATTATTTTTTCTTTTTAAGGTGATCAATGGCACTTAGGTTGATAGCTTCATGAACGTTTTCAAAGAAATTTCGGTACATTTACCTTCCTTCTGACTTTATCAATCATATCCAATAAACTCATTGGGGAATATTTGTTTCTGGTCCCTAAAAAGCTGTTTCTGGCACCTAATTGCTGATCAGCCCCAAAATGCTTACTCGACCCTAATATCTGAATCTGGCACCTAATTGCTTCCACACAGCCTTAAGTTGCCAGATCGTCTAGTTGAACTCCGTATTTGCTGTTTGCTGATTCAGCACCAAAACCAAAACATCCAGCACCTATTTTATACCACGTTTGCCTACCTAATTCGCGTAATCTTCCTGATTTTATGTATCCTAACAAACATGAACGTTGCATTCGGTGATGTCAAGTGCCATTTTCGCCAGTGGAGATAATGATTAATGCCATTTCTAGCCAAAAGAGAATCACTAGCCAGCTATGGTGCAGCATAGCAAGACGCTCCTATACCAGCCCGCTATGTAGAGATTATTGCACCCTCAGCCATTTTAACGTGAAAAGTTTGGATCCGTCACTTCCAGCCAGGCTCTCAGGTCATAAACTGGAGTAAAGCAAAATGTCAACTCTGAACAGACATGCCACGCAACCGGCCCTCTTTTCAATAGCTTTCTGCAATCATCGTCTGACTCCATCTCGATCAAACGCAGCATCCGGTTTCTACAGGGGCGTTTGACTGACCGGCCACACAATAACCAAAAACAAAATCAAAGCTTCATGCACACATAAGTAAGAAACGGATGAAAAAGGCACAACCACGGCACAACTCTGCGCGGCAAACAACGGACAATGTCCCACGCAAGATCTCGCGTTTCTTCAGCGGCCTTGAACGGAATGAAAACATTACATTTCTTTTTTGGAGCTATTTGATGACGTCAAAAAATGCAATACCCGTTTTAATGGTGAAAATCGAGACAATTACTCACAAAAATGTTTCCGTTTAAGCATTACAAATAAATACTTTTAAATATTAAAATGACATTGTTTTTTCGAACAAATCAATATTATTTGCTTACTTAAACGTCATATACAATGCTGAGATCACTACGGGGCTGTCTTAGAGTGTAGCTGCACTGGCAACCTTTAGGCTAGACTCCAGGGGTCATTATACCAGAACAACATGATTCTACCAGCCAGTAGTTCATTTTTCTACTAGATTGGTGCTACGCTCAGCATTTAGGTGCCAGATTCAGAAAAAAGAGTAAGGCGTATCGATGAATAGGTGCCAGAAACAGCTAATTAAGGTCATTTTCCATGATTGGTGCTGGTATCCACCAAATAGGTGCTGAGGACCAATTTTGGGGCGAGTCAGCTTTTAGGTGCCAGAAATAGCTTTTCTGGGACGCAATTAAATGGCGTCCAAACTCATTTGATAGGTTGAAAACATATTTAACTGCCCACCGAATGAGTTCTCCATCCCAAACCCACGAGCCAATCTAATCTACTCAGCGGGAGTCTTCTCGGTGAAACCGTGAAGAATATCGCGACGATTCTTTCGCCGCTCGGCGTTACCGATAACACGATCGGCGTCCTCAAGAGCAGCCATCTGTGCTAATTGCTTTCTTAATTGGAGTGTGTCGTTAGGCTGGCCCGCCGGTGGTCCTCAAACTTGTAGCGGCGGCTATTTCAGTCCCCCGGCGCCCGCGCGGCGACAGGCGCCGACATAATTACCGCCGCCTCCCCAGCCGGCCGGCCTGGCGCCGCCCCTGCATATTCCTTTCTATTTTCATCATCGGCGAACAAACATGAGAGCGTTCGCCGCACACTGCCTCCCCGCGACGAGCCTGGCCACTAATTGTCAGTCTGTCCCGCGATCGGTGATTGGCTGTCGGCCCGAGCAGACGCCCAGTAGCGCCAATCACCTTACGCGTCACAGCGTGGGAGAGTTCATTCTCGGGCAGAGGGGAGGTGGCGTCCGGGCGGCTGTCGCCGGGTCGCCGGGCCGCAGAGCCTTGTGTGATGTGGTAGGTGGAGGGTGCGCGTCGCGTGAGCGTGCGTCTCGACCGTCGCGTCGGTGACGAACGGTGACCGGTGTGTGACGATTGGTGACGATTGGTGACAGTTGGTGACGCCAGGACGTCCGAGTGGTGTTCGGGGAGCGGGGACGTCGGCGAGCGACTCGCCAGTCGGATTTGAGAACCGCCAAGGGACCGGCCAGTGAACAGACCGAGTGCGTTCGATTATCGGACAAACTGTGGCAGCCAGAGGGCCCTCTGCTTCGCTCAGGCGATGAGGTGGGGGGCAGCATCTTAAAACTGGATCCCTCGCAAGAAATGATGTGAGTACAACCAGCCGGCCTCGCACGTTTGTGTTGTCACGCTTGATCATGCCTGCGAAGGACCAGTCGTTTACGAGCTGTTTGACAAGCTATCACTTGTTTTACAACTCTCGGTTGTTCGCTTGACTACGCTCATCAGCGTGATTGTATACTACGGTGTCGGGGGAATGAAAAAGCCTACGATCGCTGTCATAAATTCATTCATTCGTGCTACTCGTGACCACAATACTCACGTCTCCCGAACCGGGAGTGCCCGGTGGTTTAGGCACGTGTTAACAACGCTTTACGTCAGATTTTATAACTGCTCATATATGGGCATTTGGGCATTATAGGCGAAACTTGCATTAGACGCTAGGTGATTGACGGCTCTATTGGCTGAAAAAAACAGCGGATGTATTTTTTCGGTCACTTAGCTCACAACACCGGTGCATTGGTTGCATTGCTAGTGCTGAAACCAATAAGTGACTTCCTGTCCCATAAATCACTCCATCTATTCTCAAGTGAATTTCATGATGCGTAGGTAAATCGGTCCTATCATGTTCAACTCCATCGTCTCCCATTACCTACCTCTCATCCTATCCCAAACCATCCTATTCATCCCACTCCACCGGTGACCTACCTTATCCCACTCCGTCCCATCCCGTTTCCCTCCCATTCCATTCCGTCCCATGCCCGTGTGAGGGGCGCAGCGCGTGGGAACGGTTGGCGTCGGGGCTGATGAACCGCGGCCCGACCCCAGCCGTCCCCCTCCCCAGTTGTCCGTCCCCAGCCAGTCCCTCCCCAGCCAGTACGTCCCCAGCCAGGGACCCCATTTGTCGAACCCGTGGCCAGTACGATGGATGGTCCTCCGGCCCTGGTCCACGCCCCGGACCGTCCCTTTGGTCTCCCGTCCTCGGGTTCTGTCGTGGTCTTCTGGTCTCGGTTACAGACTGGTGTGAGACGGTCCTGTCTCTCTTGAAGGACCACTGCTGACAGGTCCCTGTGGCGTTTTGGAGATGTTTTGGCGTTTCAGGGAAAGTTAAGTTTGTTCACGGGTCAATTTAGGGATGGATTGATGGCTGTGTAAGATGCTAGACTGCGGCTGTGACACATTGGTACGTTGCGTTTTGAGTAGTGAAAGATGCCTGTGATCGGCTACTTCTGTGATTGCTTCATGCTATTTCAACAATGAAGCTATTACCCCACCCATACCGACAAATAACACCCCTAATGAACTCACTCCTGTGTGGGCACCTGGCCGGTCCCTGCCGGCGGTATTTTGACATTCCTCCCTGGACCCACGTACCATCAACACCCTTCGCCGGCCGGACCGGGCCGGGACGAGCACGTGACCCTCCCCTCCCCCTCTGGGCCACCCAGACACCCCCCCCCCCTCTGACGACCGTCCGGTCTGTCCATGGTAGGCCCGGGTTCGTTTTCCCCACATACCTGGGGCGGAGGCTTTGTGCTTCCTGTGCCCGCCCGCCGCCGCCACCGTCCGCCGCCGTCCGATGCGTAGCTTGGTGCGCCTGTCACCATTCGCCAACCAGGGAAGAGCGAGGGAGAAAGAGAGAGAAGAGAGGGCCGGGGCTCCCAGCGCGTCGCCAGCGCTGCTCGCTCGCCGGCAGGGGAGAGGGATAGAGGAGGGAGAGGGAGGGAGGGGTGCGGACGGACGGTTTGGGCTCGGTCGGGCGTGGGGTCTGTCTGTCCTGTCTGCCCCTGTGTCAGAGTGGGTAATAATAGAGGCGGTACGCCGGTGTGGTAAGGTCACTCACTTTGGGTGATGGGGATGTGTGGAGGGGAGAAGGAAGGGGATGGGTTCCGAGGCGAGAGTCCGGTAGAGAGTCCGAGGGAATCCGGTGGAGTTCGGCGGAATCCGGTGGATTTCAGTGGATTTCAGTGGAGTGGGAATGATGGGTAGCTGGGGTCCGGGAGGGAGTACCCTGAACCCTGCGATCTAAACATTTAACCAGTTTTATAAAAAGCTGCATTACGTTTACGAAGGCTTAAATACGTTGATCGGTACCGTGGTGTTACAAACTGAGGCGCCCTCCCCAAAACCGAAAACAGCACACGTGACAAGCTTGATGGGTTTCCGACAATGTACCCACTACCCACCTCATCCGTGGCAACATTTCTTGTAGCGCTGGCGACTAAGGTATCCGGGTACAGCCGACGCTTCTCTATCCTTTTTTACCGTTCGTCTGTCTGCTGTTTCTATGTCTCCTCTTGCACATCGATGCCCTCTTTGTGCATGAACAAATGGAGCAGACCGTGCCACCGTCTGTTCCGGGCAGAAGTGACCTTTGTCAGTGCTGGCCGAACAAAGAAAGACGGCGAGGAGGCAGAGGGCAGAGGCTGCTGGTCGTTACTGGAGAAGCAGACAGCTGGTGGCGGTCTGTTATTCCCCGCTGTGGGGATTTGGATGCGTCACAACACCAGTCGTGGTGCCCTGCCGGTCTCGGACTCAAAGCTCTTTAACACCAGGATAAAGAGTGGGATATTGTTATCACCCAGTCCAGTTTCGTAGGAGTGATATGGCAAACCGGAGTCCTCAGTTTTCCGTCATCCAGAAGTGCACCGTCATTCTGTTTCAATAGACCTCCCACCTTTGTCCCCGATAGGTGTCCTGCAAGTGACCCCCTCTCTCCCGGATGACCCGACTGTCATCGCCCCAACTCATTAATCGCGCAGTCGGCTGGCGCCGGCGTGGGTCTGTATATGTTTTTGTAGGTCCCGCCGGATGCGCTGCGGTCCTCTGTATATGCCACCTTTCATGTCCGTCAGTGGTGGTTGTGGCAACATGGTGTGATTTATCAGGGGCCTCCGCCCGCCACTGGTCCGTCCTCGAACCGTCATAGTCGTCTGTCAGGTCGTCCTCAGCGGGCCTGGAGACTGGTGACGTTTGGGAGGTTTGATGTCAAATGAGCGTCTCGCGTGATATGGAACACGCTGGTCATCCGGCATGCGTGGGTGAATGTTAAGATGTCACTTTCTTTCGCCGTGAGTTTACAAAATGGTCAGTTGAATGCAATATCGTGAAACACTCGCGTGCTTCCCAGATAGAACAATGGATAAATGTTGCGAGCGTGTTTCGCTGCGGAGCAGTAAGATTTACGAGTTGATGAGTGATTAGCTGCCTAATTTCATCTCCCCGAAGAGGATCTGGAGTTTCTAACAGCACGTACTGTAGATTCGTGTCATCTGTTAGTATCATCTGCACGGCGCCTGGGGTGTCCGAGCTGTTTGTTTATCCAACTCCCAGCACCTCCACTCCCTGTCAACACCAACCCTGAGGTCCGTGCAACATCTAACCGGTCTCTCGTCACTCTGCCGCCTGTGGACACCCCGTACACCCAGTCCTCCCACCCTCACCTCTGTATCAGCCGCGCGAGACGTAGACGCGAGATGGCATCACCGGGGTCCGTCCCATGCGCCTGTCGTGACACTGTGGGCCTTGCACACAACTGCACGCCCCGTGCACACGCCGTGCACGCTCGGCAGGACGCTGACCCTCCCTGGGGACTGCTTGGCGGAGGTTTGAACCGGCCGGACTGATGAGATGGTCCGTCGGCTCAGAGCGAGGCGTGGTGTGATGACTCATGTAAAGGATTTGAGCACTGGACAAGAGTTACAGTTTGGTTTATATAAGATATCAGAAATGTTCCACGTCGGTGTCAAATCTACGCAGGAATCGCTGGTCTTTGGCCACGGCCATGTGTCGTAAACGTAATGCGGTGCATGTTTTTATAATTTTATTCGCAGGGGTTTAAGACGTAGGTAATAGGCAATGGGCATGTTACGGGGAGAAATTCTCCCACGCCACAACTCGTTTGTCATGGAGCCTTTCACCTTGTCATCACAGTGATTCGGCGAGTTTGGTTCATCGGATCACGCCTCGCGGCATTGCATCAAAGCCTATCCCCGGGACCCCGATCTATGATCTTTGTGATCGCAAAGCCTCATCCTCCCTTCCTTGTGTCATCTCCTGTCTCTAGATCACTTGCTCATTCTAATCATCCTTCCGAACACACCAAATACGCCGAAGGTGTCCTCTTGCCGGGGGCTTCGCCGGGATCGATACTCGCCCCAACGCCGGCGCTCACTGGCCAATCCACAGGTGGTGGCTGCTGCCCCGGATGTCGGGGCGCCAGGGGCCGGGGTACCGGGACGCCGGGGCCGGGGGCACGTGGCCAATACCCACCGGGCCGCCGCGCTGTCGACCAGATGTGTGTCCCTGGGAGGTGAACAGGGGGAGGGGAGCCAGGTGCGACGCGAGCCCCGACCGGGATGATGGAGAGTTCGGTTTGGATGTCCGTTGGCCGTGGATGTTCGTATGAGGTTTAATGGACCTCACTTGGTGAGGAGCTGCCTGGAGTGCTGTTGTTCTTGTTGTTTCCTCTTGTTGTGGTCTGGTTTGAAATGGTGGAAGTGAGGTATTCAGTATCACTCGATTAGAGCTTCACGATCGTTAACAGAAGATTGGCGTAGGATGACACTCAGATCTAACACGGCCTCACGGGCATAACGCTAGAACTAACGCACACGTTTATTCTGTATATAAAACTGGTTTGATATTCATCCATAACTATCATTCAACTGACCGCAATTGCGTGATCTTCTGTTGCCCTTCAATCATTACGCAATCGTTCTTTAGTTTTCAGTCTTGCATTAGAAAACGCAACGCAGCTTTCATTCATTGTCCTAAAAGATAAACAGTGTCGTCACATGTGGGTTGGCAGGTGTACCCTGTACGAACGCTGTAATCTGTGACCGCTACACAAGAGCCACTCAGACGCACGCGTTCTTTTGAGAGCCACTTGAAACTCCAGTCAGCTTGGTGCCAACTAGTAGTGGTTGTTACATTTCGCGGCTGAGTAACCAGTCTTCCTCTCATCGTAACGTAATGCGTTTCGGGAAATAAACCAAAAATACAGAAAAGGGCTACCACTTACGAGTATGAGGGAAGAAGCAACTGCCTACAATCACAAGATAATCGTATATGATAGCGATGATTAGAT